CTGCTGGGTTTTCAAACTGCCCCAGCGCTTTTCATGTAGCTAACTTAGGTTTATAATGGAGTGATATACATTTGCTGTAACTTTTTTTGCGTGAGAGTCTGAAAGCGTATCACGCCAGATGTGTGCGAGTTGGCAACCCTGCGATATATAATTGTGCACTATAACCAACAGTGCATAAACATCAATTAAAAAAATAAGTCTGTACCATGACTACAATCTACTGATATTTCATGGAAATCCATAATATATTTCATTTATAACCACTTATCCAAGTCAGGGTCACATGGGTGCCTGGAGCCTATCCCAGGCAGGACAGGGCACATGGCTGGGGTACACTCTGGATCAGATGCCACGTCATTTTGGCACATATACTCTGGGCCGGAAGTGTCACTAGAGATTTACTAGGGGGTCTGATTTTAATTTAATTTTAATAATGAATGAGGATACACAATAAAAACTAATTAGTGTACATTTATATAGGGGTGGGGAGGCTAAAACAGTCATAGCAACATCCCTGCTATGGGCAATCAATTAGCCAATTGCACGTCCTTGGACTGTGGAAGGAGACCCTCACAATATAAGGAACTCCAAATACACAGAGTACAGGTGGGATTCGAACCCTGGAGACATAAGGCGACAGTACTACTCACGTAACGTACCACCTGACTAAGAATCGTCGAATCAATCGTCAGTCACCACCCTCAGATTAATGAACAGCTGCCAGGATGTTTTGTTTTGGATCTGTGGTGACACCAGGAGTGACGAAAGGTTTCCATGGTGGGAGTGGCTGTATGACAGTATGAGAATCTTTGCTGGTTGTGGCACTGACATGCAAACAGCTATTTTAGATGCATAGGGCTGTGATGCCTGGTGTACACTGTGAGTTAGGCATCTCTCCCTGTAATTGGAAGGTTGCCGGTTCAAATCCTAAGCTTGCCAGAGTGACCACATTGTTGTTGGGCCGTTCAGCAAGCCTAAACCAGGATAATTGAACAACTCTGCACTCCATCCCCAAGTTTCACTCTCACCTCTGTAACTGTGTGTTTTAAAAAGGAGAGCAAGATGGAGTTAGTGACAGCTACCACATTTCAATATTCTTGTGCAAAGACAAAATAAAGGTTTATTTAATTTCTCAGTGGTGCTGAACTGAATTTACACAAGACTTTACAGCGTTATCTGTAAATCAGGCAGGTACTGCAGGGCACCTTGCCATCATTTGATATCTTGAAAAAAATTGCTTGTCAGCCATTTCCTTCTCATGTGCAGCGGAGCTGGCTTTCTGCCACCTTGGATGTGCATTTTCCTTCCTCATCATCACCTTCCACCACTGACCCAAACCTGAATCCAGAAGGTCGGCTCCAGGCCACAAGACAGGATGTCAATCATGCAGAGCCCTGTCAGTCTGCATCCTCCTATACGGACTGAAATCTTAACTTCTGGAGACACTTCTTGACAGTATAAGTCTGCCTTCTGTTGATAAGTCTGCTCAGTCTACTGCTACTGTAAAAACCCATCATTTAATCTAGCTCATCAGTTGTTTCCTTCATTTCAGAAATGCTAAAAATGTTCAAGATCAAAGAAAAAATCATAGGGGAATAAGAGGGAACCAGTCTTATTCGGCTTGTCAGTATAAATACTTTCATCAGCCAAATTTGACCATATGACTGCCCGCTAATTTGTTTTCTTAAGCTTTAAAAAACAAACATGGCTGCAAAGCTGGGAGACGACCATAAAAGCAGAAGCCGGCCCATTCCCGATGTGCACAGGCCGCAAAGGCGACGTCCTTTTAAGGACATAACACGCGCATTAGCGCTTGCAATCGACCTTAACTACAGGATCCCTTTTGAATCCAGCAGGCGTTTGTTGTTCAAATGGTGACGCGGTGACAGGAAGACAAAAGGGACGGGACGGTGGCACTCAAGCACGGCTTTCTGGCACTCGATCTGGCCCCTTTTTGTCTAATAAAAAGGTCGATTACAAACAGGAAGAGACATAGCGCTCTTTTCCAGTCGGAGCCCAGAATCCTTTCAAAATACATATGTGAAAGTGGCAATTGTGTATGCTGACTGATGAAATTCTGGTGTTGTTGGTTTTGGCAAAGGTTCTGGTTTGGGCCTGAAAAATCCTCTCAGAGAGGGTGAGTTTTTGGGCCTACCACACACTAAAGCAAGTCAACCGGCGAAGACCTTTTCCTGTTCTGTTTGGTGCAGAAATCACAAGGACCTTCTTTATATCCCGAGGTGGCAGTGAGCAATTGAGCAGAAGGAGAAGTAGCATACGCTCAGTTTAAGCTAATGGTCATGGAGATCTTGCGCAGCCTGGATGATATGCTTTGTGACCCACCCAGCTGTTTCTCCTGTCATGAAGAAGAAATATACAGGGAGTTCACCAAATACAATGTTTTTAAGCAAACAAAGACGTTGAATGATGATTAAAAAAAATCACAATATCACCCAGGCTTCAAACTCATGTGGCACTGTTAAAATAGGAACACGTTTTAATAGCATGGGGTTCTATCCCTTTCCTCAGTTGTCCTGCATCTGTGCATGTGCACACATCCCATTGTCCAGTCTCTGCTTTTTTCTGTTCACTGTGAGACAGTTTCACACACATCCATAAGAATCACATTACGGGCACCTAGAAAGGAGATTGACTTTTTTAATTTCCAAAAAAATCTCAGTTATTTCATCTGGAAGTACTTCATCTTATTTATTTCATATGGAAAAAATTTCCCAGCTTATATGGCATGTGCATGATTTATGTGAGTGAAGAGGGAACTGTGTTCTGTCAATCATGTGCAACAATAAAACAACATGTTTATACCGTTATATTTACTTCCGGGGGGAGACTCTTCCTTTTTAATACAATCTCCTATGGATCACTGTGCAGTGAGTTCAGTGGGGATCGTGCTAAAATAGGTAGCTATAGCATTAAACCAGCTAAAACCAGTCACGATTAACACACCAGACTAAACATCAATATGCTTGTTTAATGCAATTTTACTTAAGACAACAAAATTAGCTTCATTTGCTGACGACTCCTGTCATGGTTATGGGGAGCAATGAAGAATGACTGAATTGTGTAAATGCGACTCGGCAGGAAAGACAATACGTGCCCCGCAAGCTCTAATGCTCTGCAATATCCTGTATACATATCAGTGCGAGTGATCAGCCTCTCATTAGCAGGCTTTTATCCTTCAAAATGCCATCATTTATTAGAATATGGTTCAACAATTGAATTTATTGCAGATTTTTTTTTAAATTAGAGGACTTCAGAAAATGTCATTCCTAAGCATTAGCAATCACAGAGCAGACAAAATGCCACAAAGATAATGGACTACTGCGACTATGGTACTCACAGAAAGTGTTTAGCCACACTTATCCTATGTGCTGAACTGTGCCTCCTTTAAGAGGACTGAACTTGGGCTCCTCATAGTTGCAAAGATAAAAGGCTAAAAGCGCTGCCTGCCATTACACTAACGGGACTGTGCCGTCGATGGCGAGGACCCTGGTTTCTCATCAGGCAAATGAAAAGGCAGCCAACAAAGATGGGGCCTCAGCAAGGATGTGAGAAATATAGAGGAATCTTAAAAATTCTGAAATGAAATAGACAGACATCACAGTACATTACAAATACAAGGCTTTAACCAAACAACGGTTATAAATAATAGTTTAGCATGACAGGAGAAAATGGATTACCTTGAAGGTTTTTCTTACAATCTAAAACTGTGTATGCAAACAAAAACAGCATCTTCCAAACCATATTCAAATGATACCACATATAGCTCAGGTCTGACCAGCGCCACAATATGTTCATATTCAAGTAATGTCACATATAGTTAAACAAAATGTTTTGCTCATAGAAGTGTCCTATATGTGCACCTTTGGTGCAGAGTGAGGTGGAAACAGCAGTGTAACTGTGACGTGGTTCTCTTTGTGAAAATTCACGTGGTCTTGTTTGTCCTAAATCATCAAGCATAATGGAAGTATGTCCGAACACCAAAAGACGACGGGAGGCTGAAAAATGCACCAATGAATAAGCATCATTCAAATATCTCCAGTCTGGCATGTGGCTGGCATGTTAGCCACCATTGGCGCTAACAGGGATGGATTAATGCATAGGCTATCCTAGGCTACAGCCTAGGGCACCCACAAAATCAGGGGCCCCTGTCCCGGGAAAACGGAATGCTTAAACTTATGAAACTTATTAAATCTGGCCAATCTATCTGCCAGGACACCAAGCCCCTACAGTGGCAAGCTTTACTATAATAAAAAACTTAGCGGATTATTGACGTCACATTTTTCATTCTTTCTTGTGTCTCTTTTGACTCAAAAAATAGCTCAAGTAGCCCTCTTGGGGCTTGAGGGGCCTAATCCACCCCTGGTTGTTAAACATCCCTTTTATACAGTATTTGGTATTGAAAGCAGGAGAAGGGAACCCTTGAGGTTTAGCTGTAAGCTGAAAACAGGCACGTTGGACCAAAACAAATACTGCCCGGTTCTGAAGCCTAACTGCCCCATGCAATATGATGAAGCAGCCTGTTAAGTAAAAGGCAAGCAGCTGCCAGACGTAAAGGCAGGCCCCACCAAGATCTTCAAATCAGATTTCTTACATCAAATCGCATTTCTGTTTTTCCACCAATGGCTGTAATAATTTCTACGGGGAGGGGAATTTGCTGACAGTTAATTATAATGGAGAAGTCTGGTGCGAGTTTAATGTGAGTGATGTACTCCTTCAAGCTGTTTACAGACATTCAGGTTTGACTGTTAGCTGAGTTGTGACATAGATTCATCACAAAATAGACCCCAGGGGTGAGATATACCTCATAAACCTCTGTAAGCTGAATGCCTGTTTGACAGATTGCCTTGCGGTCTTTCCCACAAAAATGAGATTTGCAACGAAATGACCTCGGCGTCTATCACACCCACACTCGCAATAGTTCATATGCAAAAGTCGAACCCGGATCCGCAGCCAGCGAAGGAGGAACAGCACAGTCATACCTTTGGCGTCCGACTCCACTTCCCCGTTCTTGCATCCTTGATATATGAAATATCCAAAAGTTCAGTTTCCTGTAACAGCAAAATAACAGAAGAATGAGACACCATCTTAAAAAGACCCACGAAAGGCAGTGACTCATTTCATGCACATACAGCAGACCCAGACCTTCCAGTGAATCATGACCAGCTTCTATATGTGCTGTTAGTTCTTCCTTGTACTGAGCCAATAAAACGTCATGAATCTTCAATCTTGAAATAACGGTCTAACTGAAAAAAAATTATATATGAAAGTAATCTCCTTCTCCAATATTATCTATATAAAATTATAATAATAAAGTATTCAGTACCTCTAAAGCTCCACAAAAATTGCATAGAATATTATGGCACGCCGATACATTCAATCCAGCCAGTGAAAGGATCCACTCCCTGGGACAGGTTGTTCATCCCCCCTCCCACACTTCCCACCAGCAGCATGCTGCAATCTGATCAGTTAAAACTGGTCTATCACACACCCAGTTTGGACCCCACACTGACCAAGACCTGATGCACAGTACAGTCCTGATTGTGCTGGATGGGCCATAAAGTTAGGTTCTACCTCTGCTACAGAGACCATACCCCTTTATAAAATTCCCAGAATCCTCTACTGTAGATGACAAGACTCAGGATTCCTTTGGCCCAATTCACGCAAACCACGGCATAAGACACAACCTCCTGTTCTTCATCTCTTCAGATGTTCAAACTCTTGGTTCCTTGAACCATTTCCCTAGAACACAGATATTAGTTGTCTCATCTTTATGCTCAGTGTGACCATTTATGGATATTTTAGACTGGACCATGTCCTTAGTCACTTTCAGAAACCCCAGATTCCCTGCGTTTCTCAATTACTGCACATTCGAGGCTGATGCCCGGGCATATTGGAAGGCAGTCATTACTCTGAAGATATCATTCCCCAACGATGACCATTGAGAGTGTATTTATAACCAATTTGCCGAAATCTGACATTGCTCTGCACATCTGTGTTGTCATACTAGTTGGCTTTTCTGTTAACATGTTACCCATAGTGGTCTGACTGTCAAAGATGCTACATACGTTGAGCAGGCAGGACACCACATGCTTTTATCCATTTCACTGGATATTTCCACAGCCAAACCTTCATTAACTACTATAATGTACTCTTTTCATTACGTAATTCAACCAACGTATATAGACTTATTTAGACTTCCCCAACAAAAATGCTTATATCTTGCAAACGAATATCAAAAATTTCTGTGCAGATTTATTCCAGAAACTCTACAGAATCCAATGATGCCCAATTTAAGTTCTAAATATCCCCTGGTAATCACTCTAGTCCAACAGATGGGACTTCAGTGTTAAGCAGGTTAAAAATGTAGCTCTCTTGGTATGTTTTAAGGGTTTCAGAGCCAACAGAACAAAGTTAAATTCATGTAATAAAGTTAGTGGTTATCATTAGCTTCCACTATTTTTTTGTGGTTATTTGTTTAGCATTATTGAATAAAATTTTGAAGCTTGTGGATCAACGGTTAATGAAGCTAACTTTTCGGTTAGCTGTGCCCACCACCCGCAACAACCAGTAATAATATAACAAATAATGTTTTTTGACGCAGGTGATGCTTTCATGATGAGCCCCAGTTAAGCAAAGCATTATGAGTCATTAGGACTAATATATTTTGTTTCTCTTTTTTTTTTGGGCGGGGTTTGGGGGGGCACGAACGATACATTATAGTACTCTGTATCAAAAAATACAGAATAGTAGCAACAATAATCAGATATCAGGTAAGTATTGAAATGTAACCATAAAAAACAAGGATCCACAGTACAAAAAAAACCTATCAAAGCAACACAAGCAAAAGATCAATCAAACCCCCCCCCCCCCCAACACTTCTACCCTGCTACCAAACCCAGCAGACCACCTTCCCCAAGCATCTAGGCAAATCCCAGAAAATCCCTTATTTACACAATCATCTCCTTTGCTCCACCCTATCCCGGTATGATCTGAACCTACCTTGCCCATAGGATGCTTCTACTGATGAGAGAGATGTCGTTTTCATAATGTTTTACAAATATTAGGAGCCAATTATCCAAAACACACTTCCGTGGTAAAGAATACTTAGCATTATTAAAGAAAAGATAGAAAACATTATCTAAAATACAGAGAAATGAACAGAAGCGCAGCTGAGAAAAATCTAGAAAAGAAATGGGAAACAATATCGTAAAAACAGTTTTTTTCCTCCCACAATAATATCGTAGTGCTGTTGAGATGGTTCCACATTGCAGAGCCTATTAGCATATCCAGGCATTCTCATGACCATTGTAGATAGCCCCTATGTGTGGGTTATTGTACATACTTGCTTCTGTTTGTAATGCGTGCCCGTGTCAGGTGTGAATACTGTCCAGCCCTCGCATGTCTCTAGTCATTGTATAAAGCACTGGCGCTGCTAAACTGGGCTCTCCATAACATCATTCTGCAAGTCCGCTCCAGCCTGGCAGACCTGCTGGAAGCTGTGGACCGGCAAAGAGAAGTTCTGCAGTGAAGATAGCAAGCTTGCGACCACAGGCTTCACGACAGGAAGCTCGTCTGCTGATGCAGCAGAAAGATGAGCAAGAGACCACTGGCACTGGGTGAGGAGGTGTGCCCCAGCTGGGAGGCCCGGCTGGCTCAGGAGTGCCGTGAGCTGGACAAGCAGTGTGAGTGGGACCAGCAGGATCAGGAGTTGGAGCAGCCGGCTGGGAGCAAGAGCAAGACAGCCAGAGGAAGCAGGCCGAATCAGTGAAAGTGTCACTGTGGTGCTCGACTGCGAGGAAGCCTGCCTCACTCTGGAGCCCCAGCTGGCCAGGGAGGATCGCGAGATGGAGGAGAAGCACTACCAGTATCAGCGGGACCTAGAACGGCTGCACAAGGCCACTCAATTTGGGGAGCAGGGGGCAGCAGGTTCCCACCAAGCCACATAAGGCGAAAGGTCGGCACTCCTGAGGACCTGCAATGCCAGTGCCTATCAGCAGCTCAGCGTCCACCAGCTTCCAAGTCTCCTCAACCTCATCAGAGCTCGCAAGCAAACGGCTCTCCTCATCGGAGACGGCACACTGGAGGCCGTCACCAGACCTTTGGGACTAGTTCCATAGTTGAGGTGAGGACTGGTTGTGGTGGTTGCCAAGATGGTCGACCTTTGGGGGGAGCAGTTTACGCACTGTGTGTGCCTCACCGTCCAGTATCATACCTCCCTGCGTTTCCGTCTAGTGATCGGTGTCTGCGTTAGTCCTTTTAAGGGGTACAATAAAACAGCTGCCTTGCTTGGAACTGTCACACCTCATTTAGTTTCTGCCGTTGTGAAGCCTGGGTCTGCCAAGCACCACAATATACTGACGTGCCCTGGTTAACTTTTTCCATATAACATTTAGCTTGTCACTGTGTTAAGTATCCGCTATGTTAAGCAACCAGGTACATTCCCTAGAACTCCCTCCTTTGCTTGTGCTTCAGATCTGCGTATCTTCGGTGGGGTCGTGGACTAAAAATCAATCAATACTCTGTAGCTACTGAAGTCATTTGTGTAAAATCAGCTTTATTAGCATTTAGAGTGACGCATGGTTTGCTGGGGATGGGCCAGACGTGTGACAGGAGAGCCACAGCTAGGCTCCCTAGAGGTGACAATTTTATAAACATACGACAACAGCACTGTGCACCTTTAAAATGGCAAATAAAGGGTTTGTCACTATGAGAGATTCACTGGACCTAGATTCACTGAAAGCACAAAATAATTATAACAGCCTCAGAGATGTTACTTTAGAGAGAAAGGCCTGTTTCCCGCACTCCTGCCCCCCCCCCCCCCACCCCCCAATCAACCCAGAAGACCCCGTTTATCCTACAGGTTTAATTATCCTTAACAGGGGCAGCTGAAAATTGACAGACTTCAGGACACACTTCAGAAATCAAAACAGCCAGCGACCTTCACTGAATTCATGCCTACGGCCAGAAGGTGTAAATCCCAATGTAAATGCAAAGAAAACGCTGTCACTGGGACCACTGGGTATCTGCTGCAACTGGCCCTCAGGTAACCCTCTTGATGAAAACGTTACGCCGGTATGCTTCCGGGTCCTTCTTTACTACCGTTTGCCTGGTTATAGGGCACAGCGGATTTGCATAAGCCTGAAACGAAAAAACTGTTGCGTAAGGCAAAAGAATATTCAAATCATCAAACGATAACAAGAGCTAACCTGTACAGTTAGTAAAATACTTGGCCATTATATTTACATCAACATGATACAAAAACTGCCATTCTCATAATAGCAGCAGGATGCAGTCTTTGTTCATTACAGTGATATATCATTTTGTCGGGATTTGTACAGTGAAAGCCAATGCAGTATTTCATTATACATTAAAACTTAGATTACTGGCTTGCATATTTTGGATTTTACTTCATAGCCTTCTCTGTTTCTGCTCTGTACGTCCTGCACCAGAGTTGCCCAGTTTCAGAGGCCCAGAATCCAACACAGTTTGCAGATTCCCCTGCTCAAACACATCTTAATCGGCTAATAACCAGGTTTAGTAGGTGTATTTGAATGGGGAAATCGATAAACTCAGTAGAAATTAATAATATGCAAGCCAATAATCTAAGTTTTAATGCATAAACACTCCTACTTACACACACATAGGCTAAATGAATTTAAAGAGTTATTTTATTACCATATACAGTAATTAAGCCCAACCCACTGGGATCAGTCACTTATTTCATTGTTCCTGTAGTTTATATTAAGGGCTGAATATGACAATAAAGTCCACTAGATGAAGATGTTAATGATGATGATGATGATGATAACAAAAACTGAAAAAAGCTGAGGGAACACTATCTTGTGTTCCTGTACACCTGCTTACAGACAGTATAAAGTCTGTTTGACTTGACTTTCAGTTTAAGACGCAGAAAGGCCTCAACAGCACAAAACTCAACGCAGGAATCAGTCCAGAACACCAGAGCACCAGTGTGACTAGTGACGGATGCCCTGCATGTTGCAGGGAATGGGATTATTGAGCATTGGGGGGGGGGGGGGTGTTTTCAGCT